AAGAAGTCGATAAACATCTCCCTGCACTTCACAGGGTTAAGGCGCATCCATGCTCGCTAGCATAGGTGTAAATATATCTTGCAATGAACGGATAAACACTAGGGGAACACCTATGTATAATCTCTACATCTGAAAAGTCGTCGACATATTTAGCCCTGATCTTCCATTGCCTGGCCAGGTTATTAACAAGTACTGCAAACAGCAAGGGGGCCAATTTGGTCCCTTGGGGAATACCACCCCTAGGTACGACACGACCCGAGGTAGCACCACCTATTTTAACGAAGTGCGATCTATATGACAAACATGATCCGATCCAGGCAATTAGGACATTACGCACGCCAAGATTACGCAATTCAGTGCAAAGGACATTATGGTCCACAAGAACGAACCCTTCGTATAAGTCAGTAAATAAAATTCTAGCATAACAGTGCCCAGAGTCTAGGGCTTCTAAAATACAGTGTAGAATGTAAATTAGGGCATGTGTCGTTGATTTTCCCGGTATGGCAAATTGCAAAGGGTCAATGTTATGAATGACTTGGCTATACAGGGAGCTAAGTGTGAACCCTTCCACGATTTTGGCTATATGAGCAATGAGGGTAGCCGGTCTTAAATCACTGTCCACAGACTTGGGAGGCGATACTTTAGGCATGGACCGGACCAGTGATTCCTTCAACTGAGCTGGAACGTAGCCCTGTTTTAACGACGATTTATAAATTTCATTGAGCACAGGGCAAAATTCTCTTGCAAACTCTTTCAAGATCTTAGTGGGAATCGGACTAGGGCCTAAGGACTTGTTGGGCTTTATTTATCCCAAAGCCTTGTACACCAACCTTTGATCAACTAGGAACTCCTAAGGGACCTCAAGGTCCAGTTCACAGTCCGTCAAGTCAAGGGGAATACAATGAGCAGTCAATACCGCAAAGAAATTGTTGAAGTAATCGGCGAGAGCGGTATACGTAAGAGTCAGGATGTTTTCATCCAGCATTTGAAAGGTTCAGTTGTCAGTAGTACTCCTCTGACCTGTCAAGCCCTTAATCTCCGTCCACCACCGTTTCACATTGCTATCTTTCAAGGCCGCGACTTTCCTTCCATAGAAGTTCTTTCTGCACGTCTCACATTCCTACCGAACCATGTTTCGCCAATGTTTAAAAGCAATGGAATCTTTACCATGTGACACAAGGGATTTTTGACGCCGTGAAATTAAGGACTTGAGCTTGGAAGTCATCCACGGTTTGTCAGAAGTACAACACTTTGTGCGCTGTAGAGGGAAGAAGCGGTCCATTGCTTCCGACATTGTTGTAGAGAGCAAGTCAAATTTATCCTTAACACTCCTGAGATTAAATAAATTTTGGCAATCATACGGCGTAATCCATCTACCAAAAGCGTCCACTTTACTAGGTCTTAAATCCCTCTTTAATATCGTGTTGATGGATGACGATTTTTTCGAGGGAGATGATCTTGAACGTATAAGGACGGAGTAGTGGTCACTAGTGCCAATCTTGGGTAGCTGTTTGGGTGGTGAAAACAATTTTGACCTATTTGTAAGACACCAGTCCAAAGTGCCAGTCATGCGTTAAAACCTTTATCACTTGAACTAGTCCTGTGGACAGTTTAGTTTGCTGCTCAGTAATCCCAGTACTGGTAGGGTTAATTTCTCCACATACCGCGACAAGACCACCAGGATGTTTACAAAGAAATGAATCAACATTATTTTGGATGTTTTCCAATAAGATCTTGTTATCATCCGGCCCAATTCTTGGGGGGTGATACACTATACCAAGTAAAATAAGTGAGGCTGCACGCGGTAGTAGGAAGGGCCTGATTGTAAGCCAGAGGGATTCAACATCCGAATACTCAAAGTCTACTAGTCGTTTACAAGGAATATGAGAGGTAACATATGTACAACCACATCCATAGCCATCCATACGATCGCTCCTAAAACAAAAAAAGCCGTCAAGCGGGATGGCGGAATCGGCAACGGCGGAATCCAGCCAGGTTTCCGTGATACAAATAATACCAGGTAAATTTAAATTTACCACGGCTTGAAGCTCATCCTCTTTGAAGCGTAATGATCGTATATTCGCCAGCAAAATACACGGAAACCATGGAGTTTGGTAGGGAGAGGAAGGAAAATGGTCTGGAACTGACAGGTCGTGGTCCAACCACTCGGACAAGTTTGCTTGATCTATTACAGGTTTCTTTCTCACTCGTCCAACTCGTTTCGAACGAAACTGCCTCCTGATTCCAAGCTCGTCGAGCTTTAGCCATAGCTCCCTCGAAAGATGAAATTTTAGTTGTGTTTTTCCAATTGACTTGAGAACGGCACTGGAATATAGGTCAAAATATCAGGTGCATGTAACGTCACTCGGTGATCCAAGATAGCCGCCAACCAGTTGTAAGAGATTACATGTAGACAAGCGGCCAACGTTCGACAACAAGTTAGGAAGATAGAGAATGAAACACACACAAAGGCCACAAATACTCTTATGTGCTTGTAAAGGATGCATGGCAAGCAATTCGACAAAATTTGACACAAAACACTCAAGTTTTTACGGACAACAAATTCACCGTGGCAGCCATCACGGCGCAGCTGACCGGAATATAATTCCAATGATATCTAAAAAACATACCGTACCCCCCATCTTTTTGATAATATCGTTTGTATATGTAAGGAAATTAAATGTAAAATCTCTTTACCTCGTTTTTAGATTGCAGCGTGGAAAGCCTCTTGTTTCTTCATAATTTTTCTGTCCGTTGCCCGTCAAAGTGTGAATTAAATCAGCTGTACGTAGGTCAGTGCACGAGTTGATCATTTTCAAACCTGAAAAAATATGAGTCCATGAATGAAATTAAGTGGTGGCATTAAATATGCCGGAGAGACCGAGTTTTCGTGGCTTACGTTAACAATTTCCAAAGATGGTTGATCAAAATAATTGATTTAAGGTTTGTGTATTACAAAAATAACCATGTCTTTTTTTTTAGTGGCAAATGGATAGCTAAAGGCAAATATATACTGCTCCGGTGTGTTTTGGTGCCAGGGATAATCAGTTTGGATCCTTCTACCTGCCATCTGGAGGCGGAATAGCCGCTATAAAGTTGGTCCACTTGTATGGTTAAATGTGTCCTGTGACACCACAAAACCTAAGCACTGGTCTTTTTGGGGGTGTGGTCAACATCCGATCGTGGCGGATGAAGTTGGTGTCGTCATAACAACATCGACTCACAAAATAGTGTTGTCACCCAACGAGCTCATGAAGCCGGATGATAATGGCTTGTTTTCTACAGTTCCTGGGTATGACTCTACATCCAAGGAGATTGTACTCTCACAATTTTCCACGCTTTATCCGGTACTAGCTGGCCAGCAGTTACGCCTTAGGTATGATCAGGATCTAAAAGATCGGTCAGAAAGCAACAACGGAGGCACTGTTTGCTGTTACGTCTACGCCCTGTTTGTCTGAGGTGCCCCATAAAACCATGCTTTTATTGATCGATCCTTTTAAAATCGGCTTTGAATAATCAGATGATAGCAAAAAAAAAAAACTTGATCTGAATGTTTTGGCCTTTACTTTGTTGCTTTTTGATGTGGGAGATGTGACGGGTTATATAAGCTTGCAGGGTTTTTTGTTGCATCCAATACCCGAGAAAATTTTGCTGTTTTTCTTGTTTTGATATTATAAAAGAGATTGGAAAGGTGTTATCTTTGCAAGTATGCATGGTAAACTTTAAATTGGTCGACAGATATATAGATCTCAAGGAAATAAACCATTTTTTAAAACTTGACTTTTATGGTATGTTTTTTTAATGTTTCTATTCGTGTAACTATGATTCACCTACGATTCCGATTTCTTTTTTCAATCATAAGGACGGACTAGCTTTCCATTAGATGGGGGAGATGGGAAGGAAGGATGATTGCGAAAATGGTCTGACCGTAAAGGACCTTTCACTTCCTTTTATTTTATTTTTTGTCTGTTTTTCCAGTTGTTTATGATTCTTTAAATCTCTCCCACAAGTACGATATAGTTTGATATTTTGGTAAGGGCTAATTTTCGAGGGTTGTACCATTGCCTATCATTCTTCAATTAAGCCAAAAAGATAAATTATGTTCAGGACGAAAAATAAGATGAAGTAAAGAAAAAGAGAACCAGCTGGTTCTTGCAAGCTCCTGAATAATAGATTCACACTTCGCTTGCATTACAGGCGAATTTAACTGATTAATTCTGGTTTAACAGACTCAAAGAGCGTCAATCGATGATTCTTTTTCGATGCTTTTCGAAGAACTTGTTTTTCTAATAATATGGATAAGAATCTCACTTGAAAGCTTGTAGCCGTTTTTGTTTTACAAGTGCCCTTTTGGTATCAGCCCTTACTGATTAGGATGTGAGGTAATCATTCAGTTCGATTTTCACACTTTCACTCCCAAGCTTGACCAGAAAGGAATTTATCCCGACGCTATCCATACATTTTTAACCTGCTGGGTAATGAGAAGAAAGAATAATATGAGCTGAGGATTTATGGACTGAAAACCAAATTCTCAAATCTAAATTGTCCATGAAGCTGTAGTTCTAATTCAACATATTACTACGAGGATTTTGGCTTGCTTGTTTCGAGGAAATGGAAAGCTGATTGTTCCATAAACTCGTGCCTACCAAGGTTACAAAAACAAGAAAAGTAAGAAGAAAAATTTTTTTCTTATGTTTATTTATTTTCCTTATGAATTATTGGCCAGTCATATAATAGATAGTTTATCACCTTGTTCTAAACCATCATTATGTGAAGTGACACCTATGCTATCTTTTTTAAAATCAAGAAAAACAACAACAACTAACAGCGAAAATTATACGAAGTTAGTGGTGTGAAAAAAAATGGAAACTTGCCTGATGAAAGACACAAAGAAAACTTAGAATACAACAGTTTTAACAAGATCATTGCATTGATTATTGTACCTAATGTAACTTAATAGAAACGTGGAAAATAAGAAAACGACAACTTTATTTAAGGCTTCACTCTTGAAACAGAGCATAGACATCGCAACAAACCCTTCCTCCGTTGTCGCCCTCAGTAGAATTTTGCAGATCCTCGCCGTACCAAAGGCGTAGCTGCTGACCAGCAAGTACTGGATAAGGCTCGGTAAATGGGGTCAGCACAATCTCTTTGGATACTGAGTTATATCCGGGAACCCTGGCCCACTTACCTGCTTGGTGGCTGAGCTTTATGAACTCTCCTGGTGGCAAAATTATTTTGTTGTCGAATGTTGTTATGACCACATCAACTTCTTGTGCTACACTTACATGTTGACCACACCCCCAAAACGACCAGTGGTAGGGTTGACTAACGTCACAGGAAACGTAACCAAACAGGTGGACCAGCTTTATTGCGACCAGCCCGCCGCCAGATGGCAGGTAGAAGGATCCAAACTGGGTACCACTGGCACCAAAACACACTGGAGCAGTATTTGCCTTGTGCCAATTACCTAAGG